GGGATGAAAAATATTCTTGAGAAACTTGAAAATTGCCGAGAGCTTAAACATAAAACTAAACATTCAATAATTCTTATAAACACACTGTAGACTTTGCATAGATCTAGTTGATAGATTCAGTTGATTCTAGTGAATAAGTAATTATCGTTATCATTATTATTAGTTCGCGTTGAACAAGAATTTATGACGATTATATTACGTATAAATATCTTATAGCGTATGAATAATGATGACATATATGTTTGTCGAGAAAAACGATAATATTATGTTAGGATACATTAAGCAGCCATATAAGTTGCCGCGCCGTTAAATAATAAATTGAAGTAATCTAATCGCACGAAATCGCGATTTACGACCAAGTTCATACGACATTCATCGGCTAAAAGCCCTTCCGCAGACGCGCTCTTCAAGTCCGCTTCATAAAGTAGTTACGGATTACGAGTTAAGACCGCCATGTAACGAGGATCATCGGCTACTTTCCTCCGGGAAGGTCTCGTTACACCTCCTCTCGCGCGCGAGAGCAGAACGTAAAATATATTTCGTCCCGCAATCTTGTCGCGGATGGCCAATCAATTTGCAGCTCGCAGACGGAAGACGAGAACGCGTCGGAGCGGAGCCATGCCGCAATTTGTCGACGGCGGGGTGTCGGGATCGACACCTGTTACGATCTGCACTTACCGGGGATATTAAGTAGCGTGCGATGCACGTCGGCCGTAAACCGAGCTGAATCGCCGGAGACGATCGTCGACGATAAATAGTCGGCCAAAGAAGGAGTCGCCTAATTAAAATCAGGCTTCGCGATCTACGATAGGGCGATACAGCAAATCGGATCGGCGTGGCACGACACCTGTGTCTCTCTCTCTTTCTATGCTTCTGTCCATTTTTTTACCCACCCCGTAAAGATGCCGAGAAAATAAAATCCGTGTCATCTTCCGACGTCGCGTAAAAAGCATAGCGAGCTGAAAATATTCATTAAATTATGCACGCGTGCAGATGCACCTGTGAAAATCGCGGTCGTTGATTGACAATCCTTCGCGTCGGATAAACTTTTTTCTTCGGCTTCGAATCACGCGTGATTTAATCCTTTAAAAACTCCGATGACAATGTGTCACGAAAATTATTGGATATCCCTGGCATAAATTAAAAAACGTTTCATATGTTTGGATTTATATCACTTTAGGGTGTCGTCGAGATCGAGAGATAGAAAATTGTGATATTTTGTATCAAAGATTTAGAATGCCTTCAAACTATCGTTATAGAAAAAATTGTAGACATTAAAGGATAAATGAAAAGCTGTTTTATTGCTCAAATTTGCAAATTGCAAGTTGTTAAAAATGTAGAAAATTCTGACAAATCGGATAAATTAAAATCGAATAAATACAGTTGAGAAAAGTTGAAGTTCTCTCGTTCGAAGAATAATTGATATAAATATATTTTCTATTTATAGCGTGACATTTTTTCAATTATATCACAGCAATGTTCTCTTTCTTTCTTTCTATGTACTGTAAATATTTGAATTTGGGGTTTTTAAATTAAACTCTCATAAAATTATTCGAAAGATGGACATCGATGGCGTCAAGAAATTACGCGAAGGCGGTACAGACGATAATAAGGACAGCCCAAGTTCCACAATTTTATCTCGCGCGCTATAATTAAAAGAGCAAAACGTCGACGGACCACCCGTTACATCCGTTTGTTTACGATCGCCTCCGCGAAATCGCGCACGTTATCAATGGCCGAATATTATTCGTCCCCATTATCGTTCGTCGTTAATTCCCCACCGCAGCGGAGCCGTCGTGTGGCGGTGAATTCACAAAAAGATATACACACGCTCGATTTTCCATCAGCGATTTTTACTTTACGACCCGCGCTGTTATCGGTGCCGCGAACAATAACAATGCTCCGCAAATAATTGCTAAAAATTGATAACGGCCGGAGAACTTGCGTGCGTAGCGGTAAAATGTGAGAGAGCTATTTGCAGATGTCTGTATCTTTGTTATCAAATGTGCGAACGGTCATTAAAAATGCTTATCGAAATATATTTCAATGAAAGGAATGCAATACACGATTCTTTAACGATAAATAAGATGGTCTCATAATGTTCTCTCGCGTATATTAATATACGTTACGCGTATAAAAAATTTCGCTGATGCATTTACAAATTAAACGCAGCAAAAAATGAGAGTCTCTCTTCGTTTTCCTGTTTAATTTTACATTTTCATACGGCAGATATTTTATATTATTTTCTAATCAAATTTAAATAAATTCGAATCTCTCTGACGATGGAAAGGTATGTTTGATCTCTCGTGACAAAACGCTATTAACTCAAGCGTTGATCATAATCATATTTTTTTCATGAATCTACATTTACGTATAGATCTCAAAACTGGAGCTGGCGACATTAAACGACGGATGATTTATGGCAAGTTTAATATTCCGCGTTTACCTGCAAGGCAATGAGCAACACACAATCGAGAGCACCTGTTATCGCTCGTCCGGGGTATCACTCGAATATACGATATATTATCAAATCTTGTCCCGTGACCGGAGGTGGTCGAAATGCCATTTCAGAATGGACGACAATTACGAGCCGCGTTATAGAGCCCGGCCGGCGCTAGCCAGTGTAAATCAAACATAGGGTGTTACGATACGTATACATACGTATACACGTCGCGTTGCTGTTTATCGCGATTTCCTGTGGTCGAGCATCCGAGAATTATCGCGCACCCTTTCAAGCAAAATTCTCCAAGATTCTGCCCTTTGGAAGAGAAATTGGAAATTCATGCCTTCGTCCATTCGTAATATTTTTTACAACTGTCGCAGGATATATTTGCAATTAATTTTTGCTTACTATCTCATATCTTTGGGGTTACACGAATGATAAAAACACACGAGACAATATTTAAAATAAGTAGTAAAAGTAAATATATATTCTCTTCCAACAGGTCACCGAATATGGAGAGTAATGTTTGATATTATTATTATTATTCGCAATGAGTCTGAAAAAAAGATTTTCTTCTACTGCCAACTGACTTGAAGCTAGCATTCGTTATTCTACTTGGAAGCTATTATAGTGAAGTACAAAGTTCACGATATCGACTAACAACTAGCTAGTCATGAAATTTCGCGAAACTAGATCTTGCACATTAAAGATTAAATTTAAATGAACAAATAATTTGAGAAAGAAATCTAAGCTGCGCGAAATTAAACGATTTTCAGAAAACAAGATGAAACTATATCAAGAGAGATTGATATTAAAAAGTATATGAAAATATTTGATGAAATATCGTGAGACTATTACTTGTTTATGATGCAAAGTTACCTCTGTATCGCAAAAAGTATATTTCAAGAAGGTCGATACGTTTGTTAAATTTAAATTTCGATTTTCCAATGTTTGATGATGATTCTTTTATGTCGAACCATACAAAACACGTTAGTTCTTTTATTTAACATAAAGAAAGAGAGAGAGAGTGAGAGAGAATTGCTCCATTTTGCGGTATCATTTCTCTTGAGAAGTCGCTCGCGCTCAGGTATATACCTCGCACAGGTGATCGCTTCGACTTTTCGCTGAATCTCGATCACGGACACCCGTTATAACGCGACCCGTGTTCCCGTCCACGAACACAGCCGCGCCAGGCCGCGGGACTATATCGGTGTAAGAACGGTCGGTCGATGGGATGAGAGAGAGAGAATCGTCGTCCGGACCCGACGTCTACCCTCCGAGTTGATAGGTTGTTCGAGCGAGAGAGCACGAAGGGCGAGGGAAAGAGAGAGACGGTCGACCGAACGCGCGGAGAGGGTGCGAACGCAGAAACGACACGGAATAAGTGCGAGAGAGACGGCGAGTGAGGCGGTCGAGCGGCGAGATAGAATTAAAAGAGGACGGTGAGAGACTTCACCCGGTTCGCCGGCGGAGGATAAAGCGAGAAGAGAAGAAAAAGGGAGTACGAGAGGATGGGACCGGCGCGAACGAGGCGAAGAAGCGTGGGAGCGAGCGAGAGGGAAGTATGCACGCGCGCGTGTGTGTATATATATATATGTATATATGCGTGTGTGTACGCGCGTTAGATATGTATGTGTGTGTATATGGTACCACACTGCGGGTAAGAGGTGGAGCGAATAAGAGAGAATCGTGTTTCGTTTCGTTCAGCTTCGACTCGCGGCCTCGGCTCTCTCGTCCTCTCGCGAAACCCAGGAGAAGAAGACGACGAAGAAGAAGAAGAAGAAGAAGAAGAGGATCTCCCGCGAGTATGCAGCGCCGGAAGAAAGAGAAGAAAACCACTTCGGAGGGATGGGCCTCACGTAGAAATCGTCCTACCGTGCCCTGCTACTACCTGCGATCCCGCAGTGAATCCGCCTTCCTTTCAGGATCCCTTCCTTCCTTCCTTCCTTCCTGCCGCATTTCTTCCCTCTTCCTCGGCTACTATCCTCTTATACCTTCCCTTTCATCATCATCTCCTTCGATTTCGACTTCTTTCACCTTGCTCCTCGGGCTTTTTTAACGCGAGGTCCTCTCCGTTGCTCCTTTGTTCTTCGACGTCCTTTCGCGAAGGACTATTTTTTCCACGCCCGAAAATAAGTACGGTTAAACTCCTTAAATTCTGTCTCCTTCGAAATGTCGAGTTAATTGTGAAGCACAATTTCTCTCTCTCTCTCTCTCTCTCTCTCTCTCTTTGCATTAGGAAAAATCAGAGAATCAGAGGAAGGCAAAGAAAAAATGTAAAAAGTTCTCTGTTCAATATAAAAATATAACATTTTATGACACGTTACGTTAATTCGAGATTGCTATCTAAGTTTGATCATCGGATCAAACTTATTAAACAGTTTCTAATTAAACTATCAATATAAATTTCGCTGAACGTGTTCAAGATTTCTTATTTAAACATTTCCTACCTTATATTTTTCAACTTTTTTCAACTTACTCCATTTTTTCTCTCTCCTTATTCTGAACACAAAATAATTCTACTATTTAACGATACAAAACTGATTCATTTGTTCCTTATTTAGTGTAAAGTTTGCACGCTTTGCTAAAGATTTAATACCTTGCGAAAGAAGAGCAAAACTTTCATGGACTGTTTCCGACAGATCTGCCTTCGGTTGTTGCCTTTTGAGGCGGTTCTTCTTCTTACGAAATCGCAACCGCGCGTTCTTCTTTGATTTCAGTTTGCGCTTCTTCTTGGGATTCGCTGCAAGGCAGAACGCGAAAGATTATATACCCCAAGAAGTAGTATAGCGCAAGAGAACTACCATCTTTACCCCGTACTTTTTAGTTAATAACTTGCGCTTATATACATCTTCGAAGTACAACTGTTTTACAAAGTCGACCAATATTTGCTATCAGTCAACGTCTGATTATAAAAATATATGAAAAACTATGGGAAAATTACACAAAAATGTACGGTAAAAATACGCGCAAATTTAAAGAACGTTTTTCGAGCGTAAGAACGAAAGAGCACGAAAACTATCATCGATACGTGCCTCTCTTTACTTTTTTCTCGCGTTCGAGATCCACCTTTCCAATTTTGCAATGTCGCGGAAAACAACGCAATTCTCAGTGTGTGCAAATTTAATTAAAATGATTTTTTTTCGGCATTCGCGATATCGTATCACGGCGCTCCTGAATTTTCTGTCGTCCGTCGTTAGACGTTTCTTACTACTTACAATTAGAGTTACTACTTGGAAGAGTCGGCGATTCGCTCTATTGCTTTCTGCCTCGAAATATTTTTGTTCTTTTTTTATCTCCCGTCGTCTTCAACAATTTCTGTGGATTCTGACATTTTCTCAGCTAGAATTTCGCAGTTCACAATATCGAAAAATTATAATAGACGTGATTAAAAAGGCTCTCTATTCTCATGGATAATTTAATTGTAATAAAATAAATATCAGAATACTTTCTTTAAAAATTTTATTATCGTGATAAAATTATTTAGTATCATGTATCCATATCAGAAATATAATATAATGAAATGTTCTCTTTTTGTAATGGATGCTTAGAACATTTTTTTTTTTTAAGCGGCGTCAATCACACTCTAAAGTTGCATATCTAAATCGACATATTTATTGATTGACAATAAAATATCACTATGAAAAAATCTCAAGTTTCTAACTATGTAAGTATAGTTACATGCAAACTCCCTAATCAGGCAAACGTCGTTTCCGGGATAATCCATCCCCCTCGCTCGAATCCCGAAAGATCCGCGTGCGATTGAATGCGTCGTTAATCTCTCACCCTTTTTTCTCATTATCTTTTTCTTACTTTTGATTTGTTTTTTTTCTTTTTTTTATGTAAACACATTTCGTGCCTGTCACCCAAAACGCCCCGTTACGTTCCACGAACGAAGTTCGTTCGCATGACGGCGCGGCTTAAGTTTCGCGTTACACGGCGGCGGCCTATCAAGATCAGAAAAATCGATCAGTCTATGAGAACGCTTCCAACTGCGAATTAAAATTGGCCGACGTCCTCTCGGTCACGAGGAGAAGAAAGGAGAGCCATAACGAGATGTGTATAGGGTGTATCAGGTGAGACGAATGTTACGCCAGTGAAATTGGAAACACAATGTTGAGATCCGATTAAAAACGTTCTAGATTTTTATAACGTTAAATATTGCGAAGACTAAGTCTCTAATTTAATCTCCGTTATTTTGAAACGCACTTGAAATCATTCGAAAAATAATTTCTTCATTGCTTCTGTCTCGATTGAATTTTCTGTCGTCGTCAGACATTCTGTTACTACTTAAAAGTCGACGATCTATATACTTTATTATTTTCCGCCTCAAAATATTGTTGTTATCTTTATCTCCTGTCATCAATTCTTATAGATCTCTATATACATATATATTCGTCAAAAAACTTTAATTTTCAGTGTTCAATAATTCTATAATTAAAAATCGGTTTTTGAGGAAAGATTTGAGTATCGATATAAAGTAAAGCGGTCAACTTTTTTACGAATTACTCGATACACCCGATATACGCGAAAGCAGGAAGAAGCGAGACTCGACGTAAACGCTCATCGTGATTGCGCAAAGTCAAATCCAGATCAAGATTGGACGGAATTTCCTTAAAGCGCTAGGTAGTAGTAGTATACTCTAAGACATATTTCAGCTTCGAGAGACTGGCAGTAGTACGTTGCCATTTCACTGATAATAAATCATTTCCTTATCAAACGTACTTAAAAAAAAAGCGTGAAATATTGTTCGATATCACAAACAATAAATCAGTATTCAGCCAACAATAGCATACTAACAATATGTTTTCAATGTTTTGTATGATTATTCCTTTAGCAACCTAGAAAATGCATCGATTGATTATATCAAACAAATATACAGGGTCTCCTTTTAAACACATGCATACATGACATTTTTTCTTAAAATCACACGTCTCGTTTTGAAAGCAAAGTCTTTAATTTAGTAAAGAAAAATGGATAGTTTTGGTCCAGCTGATCTGGAACTCATTAATCCAGACTATCGAATTGCTTACAAGTGATTACATGAGAGTGCATTTTTAGATGCACCTAGCAAACTTAATTCTTTGCAAATCCACCTTGCTATTTCTCAAATTCCAAAAGTTCCATTATGCATTGCGCCTTTTCGAACTACGAGCACGATTGTAATCCGATCGATTAAATGCATACCGTGCCATTTCGCACATCGTGTATACACATACGATGTGTCAATCGTCGCTCCGCGATGAAAAAAAAAAGAGAGAAAACGAGAAAAAAATACACATTTACTGTTTGCTTCCGCCGGGGGATCGAAAGAGAGCGGGTTTGACGAAAAAAGAGACGCGCAACGAGACTTTCAAAAAAAAAAAAAAAGAAAAAAAAGAAAAGAAAAAGAAGGAGAGAAAGAAAAAAATGCTAAAGAGAGGAAAAGAATGAAAGTAATAGAACGCTCGGGATCGATTGAACAAATCGATCTAACGATCTATGGATACGGGCCTCGCATACTTCCACTTGTTAATTGCCTTTTTTCAGCGCCGCGTTTAGGGAGTCGGCCTAAAGAGACGAAACAGAAAAGGACCCGGTCGGAGAGATACGAGGGGGCCAAGGGAGAAGAAGAGGCAGCAGACCCGATCGGCTGCTCGAGAAATAGTTTATGACGCTCCTCTCGATCGAAGGGAATCGCGTGAAATCGAATTCGTACGCACGTACGACACGCAGGAACGCGAAAGAGGGAGAGAACACGAGCGAGGAGAAGCTCGGGGGAAGGTGGGAAAAATAGGGAAGAAAAAACACGGGAAAGAAACGAGAAGAAAGAGAGATATGCGTATGAAAAGGGAGAGGTATTCGAGAGAGAGAGAGAGAGAGAGAGAGAGAGCGCGATCGCCAGAGATCGCTCCGGTGCTTTGAGAACGACGCTCGGCAGCGTGATGACGGGACTGCTTCTGATACCCGGTAAAAATAAATGGTCCACCGCCGTTTGCAAGCCGGCATGATAAGCGCGACGAGATGATCCGATCTCATGACGTCCGACTCAATCACGACATTTCCGCGTTATTTCACGGGATACCTGATGGGAATCCAAGTACTTAAAATACGCGAAATGGAGAATAATATTTAATGTTGTAACGAATTATATTTTCGAATTATTTGACCACGCTTTCGTGCCACGGTGAAAATAATTTAGAAATCATATATTCGCGAAATGATATATCTCTACGTGTTCGTTTATATGTAATATCGATCGATTCTAAAATATGAAGCTAAATAATATATTTTTAAAAATAAATGATTGATAATGTTGAATTTTAAATTATTAGAGAAAATTAATAAAGCCGACTCGTTAAGAGTTGCTATTAGATATAGTGCGAAGGGTAAAAAGATTCGCGAGGGATGAAATAGCGACCTTTTTCTGAAGTATCGACAGGGAGTTTCGATGAAGAGCTTTCTGTCTCCGGTTCTCGATTTTCGAGGGCGATCGAAAATGCGTCGCGCGATCGGAGAGAAGCGTTTCTCTTTCTCTCTCTCTCTCTGTATTTCGCCATCGTTTTGTTTGCATCGACGGCATGTCGTTAGAACGTCGATCGACAGTTACAACGATGACGAACTTGTCAATGCGGAGAGCAAATAAACATCTGGAAATGTGGGGATTTGAAACTGGAACGCGATGTACGAACGGAGAGAAAATCAGGGAAATGCAAACGTCAGGCGAAACTGGATACCTCGAAGTTCTTAAAAAAAAATAAAAAATAAAAAAAGGGAGAGAAAGAAATAGAGCTCTTGATGTAAAAATTGGGGCAAAAATACTTAAACGATACTTGAATCAATATTTTAATTAAAAATGCAAAAGCGCAAAATACAACCATTATTGCGTATATATATTTATGTTATTATTTATATATATATTTTAATATAAATATTATTAAAGTTAAATAAAAGCGGACAAATATTATTTTATGTTTATAATTGTGTTTATAATCATTAAAAAATGTGTATTACGTTCGTTTGACTAAATATTATGATGTAGAAAATGATATGCAAAACAGTTGCGGTCGCATTTTCGCATTTATTATACAAACAACTCATTGAACAAAATGTTATATATAAATTTAGCAAAATATGGATTTTACAGAAAATTGTACAGAAAAATGTCCCGGAATTGAGGAGAAATATTTATTCCTGTTTACATCCTCGATGCATCATCGAAAACGCTATTTGATATTTTTTTAAAACGATTGCATTGTCTTCACGCGTAATCAAAGTTTGCGGCACAACAATTCGGAGAATATTACGCAAACAAAACGCTTGTTTATCTTGCGAAGAAACCTCGAACGACATGTAAAAATATGTAATCTCGGCCGGATTTCGTTCCGGAGCCTGGAGCACTTTCATCGCGTGTGCAATTGCATCTATGTTGATTTTCCAAGAATGCCAGGCTGCCGCGTTCCGTTTCCTCTCAGGCGTGTGTCAGCTACAATGCCTGCATGGATTTTTCCACCAGGCCGGAAAATATTTTTCGCTTGACGAATGCGCGTGATAGCGGATATCTAGCAATTTACGACTTCGAACGATCGCCTCTGATCGACATTCGGCTCGAGTGGGCCATATCGCTCTCTCGTCTGTCTCTGTACAAATTCGACTATCCGATCGACGAAGGGAAATCCCTTTCATTGCGTATTGCACCGGACAGTAGAGTCTGCGATATCACAAAAAATATCCAGGAGGAGACACATATCATATTTCAGAATT